ATATTAAGTAAAGATCATGTTCCATGAAGATATTTAGTAAATTTCCTACCGTAAATATATCAAAACTACATTTTTGATTAGTAATATGCATTGCTAAGAACTTCATTTGGACAACTTTAAAGGCGATTTTCTCAATATTTAGATTTTTTGCATCCTCAGATTCCAGGTTTTTATACATAGTTGTATCTCAGCCAAATATTGTCCTATCCTAACAAACCATACACCAATGGAAAGCTTATTTATCCAGCTTTCCAGATGATGTATATTAGAAAAATCTACCCTTATGACTGGTTTTGTGGTCCATGGTCACATATAAATAATGCTAAAAGTACACTGTTTTGCAAGAACAGTTTGAATTTTATTTATTTTTTTCTCATGATTTGGCAATGGAATTGCATTTTCTGTTTTCCAATTACTTTTCTTCCTCAAAATTACAAAAATACTAAAACGGTTTCTTTTAAAATAAATGGTTAACTTGGTTGCTAAAACAATGCAGAAAGCATGTATAAATAAATGATGCTATTAGCAGGCGAATTTCATTCTTAGTGAATCCCCCAGAGAGTCCAGGAAGGAAAGTGCTTAGTCACAGCTGCTCTGTTCCACGGCTCAGTGGAAGCTACAGGCTTCAGGCAGCACTCTGCGCTCGAGAGGTGATGTATCATGGTCCGGCTCCTGAGGAGGGTCCGGTATGTTATCGGAGATCGGAATCACGGTACAGCGATTTCCCCCACCCCATCTCTCCCTCATTCGTGCTTCCTCTAAATCTTGAATTTCTCACGCCACCCTGAACACCTGAACTCATGCATCATCCCGCTGTCTGCTCTGCTCTCCTGCCATTATTACCCTTCTCTCTTTCTGCTGATCTCTCTATCCTGGGGCAGATAGCTCGTCAGCATGTGATCCTGTCAGCGTGTTATTAATGCAGAGCCTCTTCGGCCTCTGGCAGCGTTTTTACTCAACCAGAGAGAAGGAAAAGGGCGAGAGAAAGAAAGTGAAGAAATGAAAGACCTGTATCACAACTGTAGAGTTAAAACCCCACCCACTTAAGCTCATACAGATGATGTCATTATATATATATCAAGGTATCTTCCCTGGGCCACCCCATGGCTTACCCACCAAAATTGTAGCAGCAGTGGGATAAAAGTACCTTGAGTAATTATGTCATGAACCAACAGGGAAAGTCCCAAAGTCACTTGCAAATACACACTTCAATTGTATTGAAGGAAATGACACATCATGTGACAATCTAACATGATACTATGTGTCATGAGTCTATAAATAGATGTGTAAGACCGGCCAAACCAAAAGTGTTTGAGTATTGCAGACTTGAACCTCATCCAAATTCATGCTGATGTAGGTTGTGATACAGTCACTAAAGCAGATGTGCTGTTTTTTTTCTCTCTGTGTGTGTGTGTGTGTGTGTGTGTGTGTGTTAGTTGGGGGAATGTGTGGTGGAGAATGCCAACCCACCAGCAGATCTCATCTGGATGAAGAACGACCAGCCCCTAGTGGATGACGGCAAGAGTGAGTCCACATCAGTCATTCAATGAAAAGAAAAACATTTAATCAAGTGCACTAAACACATAAATCTGATATACAATATAGGGCTTTGTAAGTCTAAATATATTAAAATAATTATAAAAGTGTATATCAGTGTGTAGCCAGTCAGAAATATTTTAAATTGTGCCATGATAAACTGTGTTAGTTTTCAAATTTACACTAGACCGATCACATTAATATAAATCATTCATTTTAATCAAAACAGGATCCTTTATGTGTAATTTATGAGATTTAATTCCCTGTCACACCATGTATTTACCACAAAATAATGGTGAACTGTCATTTTAAATGATATAATGACATTCATCATTATTTTATTACTTGTTAACATATCTCACGTATCAAATAAAAACAATGCTTTATTTTATTTTTTTATATATATTTTTTTATATTAAAAATATTTTCAAATGTTAATATTTTAATTTGCTTTTTATAGTAAAGTCATGTCGTTCACTCCTGAATGCTAATGTCAGGAGTCCAAACCCTTGATGGTAAAGAAACGAACAATTAAGAATATCCCAACATATCAGTTTTTATGAATTTAGTTTCAGATGTCACTATGTTTGTTTAAATTCTTGCTGAAGTTTTCTTAAAATCACTTTTCTGCAATTGAGAAGGCACTTGTTTCCTAGAATGACTCAACAAGCATGTGTAATATTTCTGTCAAGTTATTACAATCAATGATGTGTTTCTACATCGGATGTGTGCGGTATGTTGCGACACAACAGAACAAAATATTGCGCATATTGTAAGCATATTGGAGCTGTCTACACTGCAAGCATGTCACGGTTTTAATTGACAGACACCTGGTACCTGTTTTTGACATGCTGCAGAACAACTTCTGCCACTTATTTCCCCGTCTGTCTGAAAAAAAAAGAAGATTCATTTACAAAAAGCATGAACTGATTGCTTCATTTATTTGACATTTTCATTTTCTCAGCTTGGACTAACTAGTTTAGATTCGAACCATGTGTATATCTAAAGTCATTTTTTTTTTTCTGCTTTTTTCAAATGGTTATATTTTAAATTATTTTAATACTGTGTTACTCATTGTTCTGAATTACAAGATGTTACAGTCCATAACAATATAATATTTTTTGCAAAAAGTGTCTTAAATAGCTGAAAATCATGATTTCTTGTTGTCCGAATTAGTCAGTGCTTTTATCATGTATCGTGTAATCAAAATATTTTATTGTACTTTTCTTTTTGTAATATTTCATTCATTTTATTTATAAAAGCCCTAAAGAGTCATTTACCTAATTCTACAACATTATTATTATTTTTTTAAATAACTTTTTTCTTATAAAAATGTGTGTCCGTAAATCTTGCGTCAACTCTGTTACCGTACCATACTTTGCCTTTAAATTAGTGGAATTATCTCCCACAACTATGTAAGATACAGGAAATGATGTCACTTTCCCTCACTGTTAAGATCTGAAGCACTGAAAAGTCTATGTGCTCTCTCTAAGAAAATATTTTAATCTAAAAGTTCTTACACCAAGAGTTATTTTATAAAGTGTCAAATCTGTTATCACAATATCAAAAGGAAAACAGATTTTTTTCATTGATCACACGTTGTGTTATTTAAAAGTCTTTTAATCATGATTTCATTAGTGCCATGTGTTCTTAGCATTTATGCTAGCAAGTGGAGTTTTTGGCAAAAATAAAGAAAAATTGTCCATTCTGTTACTGTCAAACTCTGTTACCAAGAAAGAGTAACAATGCTGACAATGCGGTAACAGAATTGACAGTCCATCGGACAATTGTCAATTCTGTTACTTAAAGGGTCAACTCTGTTTATGAACTATTTTTCACAAAAAACAATAAATTTGTTGTTTAAAATCCTAAAAAACATTATTGATTTATTTTTGCACCCTTATAATATTTAAACAACATTTCTTTTTTTTAACTGGATATTGTATATAATACATTTTCAGATGAAAAATATTTGCTCCAAGTGGACGGTTCTGTGAAGACATAGGTATTTTTTTTTATTTTAAAGGTATGCATAGGTGAAATATTATCTCAGTTTCAAGTGATGGAATGTAAGGATTGTTTGTCTAATGAAACAAGAAGGATTTTTCCTGTTATGATTTATTGTTATTTCTACACATTGGCTAATTTGTTGACAAACAATACCATAAAGACATCTGTTTTTTTTTCATTAAAAGTACAAAAAGGAAGTAACTTGTGTTTGGCAAGCACTGAATGATTAAAATTAAATATGTTTTCAATAAGATACTGAAAAAAAAATCTGTTAGTGAAAAGTTTTTTTTTCTTAACTTTCTGCAATGCCAAATGTTTCTCCAATTATAGAATCACCCGCATGCAGATTGGTTATTCTAAAATAGCCTGTATAATAAAGGAAACTTACCCCTTTAACTGTTGCTGAAGTCTGGAGCTCGCAGCTGATTGGTTTGTGGTTAATGAACATTCTCACAGTGTTGACAGACTCAAGCTGCTGCTATGTGGATTCAGGCACTTCCAGTGTAGACGAGGTGTGACAGTTTCTGCGTTTGCCAGCTCTAATGATTGATGTGTCTATATGTGTGTTTGTGTGTGACTGCAGCGATCATTATCACGTCTACTATCACGAAGGACCCAGTCACAGGTCTGTCCAGTACTTCTTCCCGTCTGCAGTACACAGCTAGGAAAGAGGATGTAGAATCTCAATTCACCTGCAAGGCAAAGCATGAGATGGGCCCCGACCAGGTTTCAGAACCCGAGACCTTCCCAATTCATTGTAAGTAACTTAATTGCAGCGAAGTACATACTAAACAGTACTTTTCTGACACTACCATTGAAAAAAATTGTCGGAGTCAGCCGTTGCACTTAGGGCGTCCTGATTTCGAGTCACGGCTCGAGGACCTTTTTCCGATCCTGTCCCCCCTCTCTCTTTTCCACTTTGCTTCCTGTCTCATATATTCAGAGGCGGACAAAGTACTCAACTCCATTACTTGAGTGAAAGTACAGATACTGCTGGTCAAACATTACTCCATTACAAGTAAAAGTTGTAAAGACAGATTTTTACTTAAGTAAAAGTACAGAAGTACTTGCTTTTAAAAGTACTTAGGTACCAAAAGTAAATTTCCTTTTTTATGTCAATGCACATATTTTTTATTGTTGTACGTAATACTTGCAATACCTCTGAAGCAACTTACAATACATTACACCTTTAACACCCCTACCCACCCCCACAGAAGCAGGATGGTAGTGATCTCACACAGCTCTGACAGTGTGTGCACACATCTATGTGTAGCCATTCATCCACATTTGAACAGAGTGGACAGTGAAATCCTGTAAATACAGACTGATTAAGGAAGAAAACAAAAATCGAACCTGCTTTAAAACCCAGCAACATAACTGTAGATGTGCTTTACAACACTTTACAACAGCAACACTGCTTTAACAAAAAAGCAAAACAGCAAGACTTATTTGACATCAAAACAAACAGATACTCAAAAAGTGTACTTAAGTACAATACTCAAGTAAATGTACTTAGTTACTGTCCGCCTCTGCATATATTGGCCTATCCTAAAAACAAAAAAAGGCAAAAAAGAAATTGGTCGGAAAGTTTTTTTTTTTATGTTATTCAAATAAGTCTTCTATGTTCACCAAGGTTGCAGTTATTTGATAAAAATACAGCAAAAACACAATATTGTGAAAGATTATTATTTTCTAAAAGAGATTTTCTATTTTAATATATTTTAAAATGTAATTTATTCCTGTGATGGCAAAGCCGAATTTTCAGCAGCCATTACTGCAGTCTTCAATGTCACATAATCCTTCAGAAATCATTCATTTCTTATTATGAGTGTTCAAAACAGATGCTTTTATTTATTTTTTTAGGATTCTTTGATGAATGAAAAAGAATAGCATTTATTTGAAGTAGAAATCTTTTGTAACATTATAAAAGGTCTTTACTGTCACTTTTGATTAATTTAATGTCCTTGCTAAATAAAGAATTAATTTCTTTCAGCAGCAACAAAACAAACCAACAAATAAATAAATCTTACTAATACCAAACTTTTGAATGGTTTGTTTTATCATATTTTTATTAATAATAATAATTATTATTATTATTAAATTAATTACATTATATTTAGCTAATGTTTTTATCTAAAGTAACTTAGAAATAGAAATATTACAAGCAATTTATAAGCCAAAAGCCAATGATTTTTATTATCACATCTGTCTAAATAGAATCGGTGCATAAGAGTCTTGCGCTTGCGCTTAATTGCATGCTTTTTTACGTACAGTATCAGTGTGTGCCAGTATTTTATATCATCTTATTTATAATTTGACGCTACCCAATTCTCTTCAGGTAAAATGTCTTATTATTGTGTCAGTGGATTTAGGTTACTTTACATGGCTACTTGTACATAAACCAGCTCCCTCTATGGGCGGATCTGCCATATTAGCTCAGAGATGAAACCGAATTGGGATTGGGTTGGTAGTCAAGCGCTGGGGCTTTGTCTCTTCCTGAGATAATGTTTTGATGTGACACATGCTGTGCCTAGCGCTTTGATGCTTTATTTGTTTGATTTTACAGCTGGTTTGAGGGATCTGTGTTCACGGGTGCCTGCGTATCTGTACATCACCTAGTACATGAAGCCATCTCATGAGTCCTGAACCTTGAATTGAAGGTCTCAGCTGGTAGCCAGGCTCAATTTGATGTTTTTTTCTAGGTCTTGTCAGGCATAACGCCGGTAACCAAGTCTGCTGTAGCATCTCTCTCTCTCTCTCTCTCTCTTATCTGAATGCTGAGAGGTTTGTTCAGTGCCTCGGGGTGAAGATGTGATGTGAAATGTTCTGTGGCTGCTGGGCGAGAAAACGAGGGCGAGAATGAGAGACTGCAAATGGTTGTGGAAATGAAGGCGTTTAAGCCCCTTGGGGTCTGCAGAATGGCACGGTGTCTTGGAGAATGTTTTTTTAGTTGCTTGCTACATGTTGATATGGAAAGTCACACCGAATCCGTGCAAAGACAGCCGTGTTCCTCAGGCTCTCTTCTGTTCTCGCTAATGTTTGTTTTCTCTTTATTTCTCTTTAAGACCCTACTGAGAAGGTGAGTCTACAGGTTGTTTCTCAGAGCCCCATTAGGGAAGGTGATGATGTGACACTGAAATGCCAGGCGGATGGAAACCCACCTCCTACCAGCTTCAACTTCAACATTAAGGTGAGAGATCGCCGGCCGTGTCCACAGCAATCACGCTGGTCTTTCATCTCCGGGGCCCTGCTGTCTGCCCTGTATTCTTCTCTACAGGTTAATTACACCGGCTCCCTCTCTCTCTCTCGCCCTCTTTAGGGCAAGAAGGTCACGGTGACGGACAAGGATGTTTACACTCTGACTGGCGTTACCCGAGTGGACAGTGGCATTTACAAGTGCTCCCTGCTTGACAACGATGTGATGGAGTCCACTCAGTTTGTCACCGTGAGCTGTGAGTGGATGAGCGATGTGCTCTATTTCTCTGTCTCTCTCATCTCTCCCTAAGGGCATCTACACACTAGAGAAAGACCTGATGGAGCGTTTGACAGATATGGGAAGATATTTTTGACATTTTGAAAAGATAGAAAATTTTAAAACCAAGTTGTAATACAGAAAATTCTGCAATCTGTTTCTCAACATATGGTCACATTAATATAATATAATATTTATTTACAATTATTTACTTAATCTGGCAACCGACACGTGCTTTCTCCATTGAGAAAAAAAAGTGTCAGGTTTTCTGAAAACACGGTTAACGTGTACATCAATGTTTAGTGATATCTAGTGCAGTATTATGCTCAAAGAATCGTCTAATACAGCCAGCCTGTGTTCATTGACAATGTACTGTAGCTTGTGTTCTTCTTCTTGGCAATGAACTGTAATAAATTCAAATCCAAAACATGTATTCTCAACTAAATGACACACACATTTTAGCCAGCCTGCTACAAATTACCATCTAACCTGCTAGCATACTGTTTGCATTTATGGATCATGAATAAATGCAAATGCATTGAAAATTCTAGCCTTGAAAAAAATTACAAGCATTTTCTGGGGAAAATATTACCTATTCACCATATTTTAGTTTCATTTTACCAGTTTTCTGTTTGTGGAATGTATTAATATGAATAAGAAACTCACCAGGGAAGCAGAGGAGTAAAAACAAATTGTACTGAGCCTTTATCATGTTTTTGTAATACCTAAAAAAAAATTACCTACATTTTCGTAGATAAATATTTCAGGGAATTACAGCGCAGACCCATCAGTTATAGGTACACTTTAGAACATTAAGCATCATTTATTTGATTATTTGGGCTTAAAAGTGGCAAAGTGTAAAATCTAACAACATTAGCTCAACCAAACTCAAGCTGTTGTTTGCGCCGATGTTGCTGTAGAGTCGAGCCAGAAGAAACTGACTCAGCCGTTGAACAAATGAGCAGCCGGAGTTCACCAAACTTTTCCTTACCAATTAATTCCTTCCTTTATAGTTTGAATTAATGCACGAGCGAAACATTAATCAAATCTATCTTCAGCAGGATTAGCGAAGGGGGCGGGACAGCAGGCAGACAGCTTAATTAGGAGTTTTTGAGGCTGCTACAGTCTCCAGCTCGCTGATAAGCTCACACACTCTGGCCTTTCAATAATTCTCATTGAGGTGAGAGTGTGTGTGTCTGTTTGGTTTAAAAGGCCTGATGATCTCCATAATGTGGATTTAGTGATGCTTCGGTTTGGAGACTCAAATGTATTTCACAGCGTCTGTGTGGCGCGATTTCAAAGCTGGTGGCATCTCAGCTGTCCATGTGTGGATAGAAAACAATTGCTCAGGCGAGAATAAGGGGGTGCGAGGAGCAGGGGCGGTTCTAGACCACAGTAACTGGGGGGGCCAGACAGGGGCCACTTGTGCTTTTATGGGGCACAATTTTAAAATTCATCTTAAACTACTTTAAGTAGCCTATTATTCATTCAGTCATTTTTCACCATGTCATGTATCGCTGCAATCTAGATGTAATCTATAACAATTTCAACTAAAATGAATGTTTCATCATGTTTCATTTATTTGACAAATAATTTTGTATTGTAGTGTCAGAGGCATCATTTTTGAGGTGGCACGAATAA